GATCTTTTTTCGTAACTTGGTCAGTGGAAAAGGAGAATTTATGGAACGTTGGCTTGGTATATTCCCAGATATTACGCCAGCATCCTTAGTGAGAGCATTATCCTTAGAACATAGTTACAACTTAGCAAAGTGACAAAAAAAGGGAGTTCGCCTTCATCTGCTACTTTTATTTGTTGTAACTCTGCCGTCGAAATGTCTGTGAATGTACTAAGCCAACGATCCGATGCTGGAAATCATCATGCATATGGCAGTGGACGCAGGGCTGGTACGCTTTATAAGTTCTCCCTGTCCCTCCACTCAGTTGCGAAATCGAGGTCAAATCACTATACAGCAGAGGAGACTGCGACCAAAAAAGGAGACACCAATTTTAATCTAACACAGTTAACTTTAAGGATAATTATTTTAAGAATTGATTTGGATACCGGTGGCAGGAGCAGACAAGTTTATTTCTATTTTGAGACAAAATGGCCATTTGAAAACACAGCTCGTTACTTATGCATAGATGATAGTAAGAGGAGCTATCAAAAAAGGAAATACTAATGCGATAATTTACAAAAAATATGCTAACTACGGAGGAATAGGTCGATTACTTAGATTTGATCGGCGGTGTCATATCTCAGTTGTACATCGAAAATAAAGAAAGGAAAGTCTGTAACCTTTGGCGATATATTTGGTTTAGGAAAGATGAATGCTAGAAACAAATCAAGTTGTGCCCAGATTACAAGTACAAATAAATATTTTTAAAAAATTTCAATAGAACACATATTTACCCTTTGAATAGGATGTCTTGTCTGTGCTGATTGATGTTGTTGCAACGCTTGTTGATGGCCGGTCAGATGAGCACCAGTAGTGTGTACGAGGAGGGTAGTTGTGGCTGGGGCGACATTTGCACCAGGTATTGCTTGTGAAAGGCTGGTTAAAGCGGGAGTCGTAACAGCCGTCCCGACAAAGGAAGCGGAAACTGGAGCAGCTGCCAATGAAGTACCAGAGCGTTGAAAGGCTATAGGACAAAAGAGAAATGCAAGGAAGATTTCCACCTGATATAAATAAGTTGAGATTTCCATAGGCATCGCAAGGCATCAGAGTTAAGTAAATGCATAATCAATGTTCAGAGAAGGCCAATTACTCTTATGATGAACACTCATCTAACAATGTTCGGTATTTCTTCGTAAGTGAGTAGGTGGGAAAAATCAACCACCAGTCTTTCATCAGCTTAAACGAAATAGGACGAATACAACTCATATAACTAATATTCTTGATTGTTGACAATGTACTTTTAATCAAACAATTTGATAGGAGAAAAATTTGACAAAGAAACCTTAAACTAATTTCAGAATAAAAATGAATTAAGGTCAATATGA